ATCCGAGCTCGTTATAAACGAGTTCGACTATATTATAAATATTCAATATATGTTTAAATAAAAAATAGAATTTTAAAACAGCTTTAATCAAGTATTAAATAGTAATTCTGGCAAGTTAAAAATGGATAATGTTTTCTACAGTAAGTTGCACTGCAAACTCTTTACTGTCCTGGTGTATTTTGAAACAATTTTACTCATAATGTCATGATTGGTCTTTTGAGACTCTCTTGAGTAGTATTTCTTGTATACACGAATTTATTACCTAATTTATTATTTGCGTTAATAAAGAATCATCACTTATTTTATCATTAACCAAAAATCCTCAGTTCTAGATTTTTTGAGCGAAGCATCCGTTAGAGGAAGTTTTTAATTTTTATTTTGACAATTCCAGGTAAAAAAAAAACTTAATATTTGAACTTGTAATTCATGACTAAGCATGGATTTAAAGGACTTTTATTGGCGTTGATCACTAATAAGCGACATTAAGTATGATTTTTAAATACAAATAGTATAAAAACCGAGGGTGTCACCCAAGTTAGTAGATTTTTGTTAGATAACTAGCAAATGCTTCTTATAGTTGCAGCAAAACATTCATGAACATTATAAACAAATACAAATCATTTAATTAGGAAATAAAATGATATTTAGAACAAACTAATAGATAGGTTGGGTCATTCTGCAACCCCAATAATGCATACAAAATTAAATATTAAGTTAAGATGGGAAGGAAAAATGTATCCACACATGTATCTGATCAACAAATGCCCTTGGAGATTTCAAACTTGCAAAAATTTCAAAAAAAGAATTAGAGCTTTACCCAGGAGTGGCTAATAATTACACTTTTTAATTTAGTCCCCCAGTATATCTTTTAGCTTAACAAAGGCCACTGTCTGAAAAACTATAATTAATTGATTATTTTTACACAAGTACAGATACACAAATCTTCCAGTCACTAAAAAATATAATGTCAAGAAAATGTTATGAAACTTAATGGCAAAAAAAAACAAACAATATATAACTTTAAAAAAATTATTTTAATAATAAATGTGTAATGAGCTTGAAGCACAATTACATTCTTTTAATGCTCATATTTAGGGACAAAATAAAATCCCATTAATGTATGACTATTCACATATGATACAATAACAGTCGATCTTACTGCTGTGTAAAAGCAGATATGGTGACACTTTTCATTCTAGCTTTGCAGTCATCATACATATCTTTATAATCAGGATGTTCTTTGATAAGCAACATCAACACACTTCTTTTTACACCCATGGCAAGACCTAAATCATCTCTTGAAGGAGTATAAACATAAGGAATATTTTTTTCTTCACACACAGCTGGCATGTGGCACATAACTTCAATAGGTGTTACATCACCAGCAAAAACAACTATACCAGTCTCACCTTTACGAATAGCTGCTTGAGCATCTTTTAAGCCGTGACGAAGATAACCCTTGCAAGGAGCAGCTTTTTTAATCAATTTATACAAACGTTTAGCTAATTTTTTAGGAGCTAATGGTGATGCTATAATGCTAACATTTTGCATTTGCTCTTCATACGACAGGCGTGGAGTATCCTCGATTTGGGACGTTTCCATGGTTTCATCACCTTCATTTTCATCAGCACCCACGGATTTCTTTTTTCCCATAGTAAAAGAAAGAAATAATTATAAATTTAACGTTTATAGCTGAACACGTGTTTTGTAAGAACACCGGGAAAAAATTAAGTACTAAACAAAACGAGAAACAATTTTCTTCACTTCACTTTCCTCCAAATGCAAATCGGCAATTTTCGTTTTACGCTTTTTCCTAATCTTTCAGTAATCAATTTGACGAAACTGTCAAAATGATTAGGTTTTCATATCTGGCAATGAAACACGAGTTTCTCTTTTGTTCGATGTTTGCGATGAAAATGATGAAACTAGATTGAAATTGTTTTTATTTATAATTTAAATTTCGTAATCACAGTCATTGTTAGTGCCTAGCACACATAAGAAAAATCATTAAACATGAAAAGTCATTTAGAATTATTTCTTGTCTCTATCTTTTATGCATTTCTTGTTAAATTCTCTTGCGTAAGTTGTGTTCTCAGTTTTGTAAACAAAACAATATTGATTTTTGAATTATATAATGACATTTCGTTTAAAATTATGGAATATAATTTATGATAATTATAAATTTATAGTGTGAAGAGTCATCGCCTATAGAATATGGGGTTTTAGCTGCTGAAACATCAACAGATAAGGAAAATTTTTGCATAATTTATTTTCAAGATTTTGCCACTTTACCTGAAACAAAATCTGAAGCTGTAAGTTGGACTCCATTTATCTGTTCCCCCCCCCTTCTCTTCTGAAGTAGTGTTGCATGTGTGTCTAAATTAAAAATTAAATTTGTTTTATTATTATTATTTTTTCTTTTGTATTTAAATTTGATGTACTTAGTTAAAATTTGCCCTACATTACTAATATTTGAATAGAGATAGATTTAGGGGTTGTTTTTCGGTCCCTTAGAAAATTTCAATTTCCTTAGCAAAAACAGCTTCTTCACAAAATTTTAATTCTATAAAACTGACCCTTTCATAAAATTTTTAAAATGTCCCCTTTCACAGGATTCTAATTCGTAAAAAGCGACCGCTTCACAAAGTTTCACTTTATAAAAATGATTGAACAAAATTGTTCCAGAGCAGAAAAAAACTATTGGAAAAGGTGGTTTTGTATAGGCATTGTGCAAATTGAACTCGTCTTAAATTATATTCAAAATTCATGTGTGCTGATGTAGTATTTAAAACATCAGAGTTCGAAAGACCAAAGAATGATGAATGACAGCCATAAAAATATTGAATGCAACCAAAAGTGATAACTCAAAATCGGAATTCGCACATCAAAATAACATTGTATTAAAAATATCTGAATTTGAAAAACCATGCGAAAATGACCAAAAAAGTGATAAATAACTTCTAAAAAACTATTTTCGAACAATGCGAAGTTACGATGGAATTGTAAGTAATCGAAAACGCTGGAAAATGATAACTCAAATTCAAAATTTGTATGTCATAATGTTTTATATTAAATATATCAGAATTAATTTGCAGAACCATAGGGAAGTAGACATAAAAAATTTAAAAAGAAAAAAAAACATATGAACGTACAAAAAATTCATAAATAAAAAATTATGATTGCTAAAACTAATTTTTTTTCAGTAATTATGAAAAGTCAAAATTTCTTTTTTTTTTTTTTTTTTTACCTCACGA